CGTGCCTGTCCTGGTTCGATCCCGATCAACCCACTTTCTATTAGTTATTCTCCTATTTGGCTAAACGACTTCGATAAACTAGGGCAAAAGAAAACATTTCCCAACTGTTCACAGTGTATGTGTGTGTGTGGGGGGTAGGGACCAAAAGGATTATTTATTTGTTGTCAACCCAGAAATACATTGCACAATATTGTGTTGCGCCACTCACCAATAATGTGTTATCCTTTTTTGCAGATATATCGTCCATAGTTCGCACATCATCTGGTTCTTTTGTCCACATGTGTTCAAGGCGCTTGACTAAACGAGGCAGGTAGGATTTTTGACGGATTGACGATAGAGGTGACCGATTAGCCAACAGGTCCTCCACAGAATTCACTTGATGTATGCATTTTGATCCATCTTGGGATTCCTCTGTCGTTTTCACTTGATCATTGACTGCTGAGGGCATCCAGTGATTAGTTTCTCTGAAACCGCAGGCAGGGACAGTAGAGTTTGGATAACTGATTATCGACCGGTCACTTGAAAACAGTGCAAATTTCAGGTTTCCTTGCTTTTCCCTGTTATCTTTGATAAACGGTTGTTGGAAACTTATCCGCCTTCAAAACTGTTCTGGTTGAACAAATTTAACACAAACGGTTTTATTCGATTCAATATTCTAGGCGCTGTATGTCGAATTCGGACCGGTATGATATTTTGATTCGTGTGGGTTTAGCAATCGGTTCAGCACACTGCGAATGAAGAGAGCAAGAAAGAAAACGGTCTCGGAATCAATACACAAATCCAAATATATATATATATACACCATAGACAATAGATCAAGTTCGCTTCTATGAACCACCCATGGATTGTGTTAGGTCAACCTTGTGGGTGGTTAGCTGGTAATTAGGTGCACCATCTTCTTTAACTGAGAGATACTGGTAAGTGTGTATCATACTGGTTACTATGGTACGTAATTAGAAAATACCAAAGACAGAGTTATTTGACTTTTTGAGGTTACAAGATGTGTGAAGAGTTGTAAATGACCGGTTGTGCTCTAACAGTTTCATTATTTCCGGGATAGTTTATTGGATCATTGTCCCGGAAAATCAGGAGTTGTAGACCGTAAAACAGTTAATCAGATTCTCAAACGGCCTAGTCGAGTTGACTCGAGTTGACAGAAAGCTTCACTCGGTTCTAAACAAAAATATTCAGCTACAAGCATTACCTTAGCTAAAGCGTTATATTCATGCCCGCGACTTAGCGAGATTCGTTCAGTCATTCTCAGAAAATACTATAGTCTCTGTTGGGTACCAAAATTGAAACACTGAAACGTACCATCCAAACATATCTTATTTTTATGCAATTTAATGTCAGACAACCGACAAACAGTACTAGACTGTTTTTTGAAACTTATCACCAGTAAGTAATAATCTGTCCCTCTCTTGTCAAGACTCGAATCATCAACCAACGGATCAGCAGGTAAAAACCATTGCTTTCCCGGAGGCCTTGAACCCATGGATACATACTCTGGTATTATCCAAGCACGTTCAAAAACCCGGTGGCGATTAAACGAACTCCAGACGACTGAGATTCACATAAAAGTGCCATGCACAAATTTGGGCATTTGTGACCTCCGATAGGAGACGACAGAAAGGGTTTCTGCTATTAATGCCAAAAACAGCAAACATTAATAATATTGCGATGAGGAGACACATTTTTGAGGGAGGCGACAGAGATGAAATTTGCTTCAAACATTGGAAAATTTATCGGGTGATTCAAATGTTCGGAAGCGCATTGCCATGCAGAAAACTCAACTGAGCATATTCGCAATTGAATTAGGTGAAACGTGGTCAAACCGGAAAGCGTGATTGCGGACTCCCAAGCCTGTTACCCACATCCCCTCCTCTCTCTCTCTCATGAGTCCAAAGTGTATCTGTTGAAGGAAGTTAGACCGTTTTGTTCCAACCAATCACACTCGCATATCTCAGCTGCTGCAAGTTAGACTTAACAGACGATGGCAAGGCGCATTTGGTCCAACTGAACTCAGCAGATCTGCCTTCTGTGAAACACACGGAACATTCAAGCGCTTCAATCTCCTAGACCGAAAACACGACACTGTAGCAGTGGAGAAGTGCACAGAGCGTTTTCTTCAGACCGGGTTTGACGACTGAGTTTATCTCCAAGGTGGAAAGTAGCTGCTAGTAAATTGTTTCATTAATTGTCATCAAACAAAATTGGACCCGATAGCGTCATGTTATGTACCCTTAGAATGTTCCTTTGAGCCAAGTAAAAAAGTTTTTTTCTGTTCGCCCCACCAAGAAAACAGTCTAATTAGCCCAAAATACGTCTTCAGTCAACAATATCTCCGTCTGAGCAAGCTGCGCCTAAATCATTCTGCCCATTTCACACTCTTCCGGTTAGACGGGTCTAACCACAGTAAGCTCGACACCAGGTTCAGTGATTTTAGAACAACTGGTATAAGAATAACTGGAAAAAGTTCTCTAGAAGCACACGATCAGTTTCGCGGTCCTTGCTGCTCGTTAGAGTTACGGATCCGTTTATCCTTTTTATAGATTTGAGCTGACTATCCGTCGGACTTCACCTTCACGCAAAATCCTCAGTTCATCGATTCAATCGTACACTCGGAAGCACTAGACTAGCGTTTCATTCTTATTAGACCTC